TCCTCTGTGAATAAAATGAAGATGTCTACCAAACTTTTTTTTTTATGAGAAAGTAGTTTTATTAAATTATAAAAGTTTCCATTTCCGCCCCTCTTCCCAACACCCTCCCACTCCCCCCACTCCCTCTCCTCCTCCCTCTCCATCCCTAAGAGCAGTCAGGGTTTCCTGCCCTGTGGGAAGTTCAAGTTCCTCCCTCCTCCCTCCAGGTACAGGAAGGTGAGTATCCAAACAGACTGGATCCCCAAACTCCAGTATATGCAGAGGAAACAAGTCCCAGTGTCATTGTCAATGGCTTTTCAGAAAGACTCCGGGCCAGCCACATTCAGAGAATCCGGCCACCTTCAGAGAATCTGATTGGATGATCACGTCCTCGTTCAGTCCCAGTCCAACTGGCCTTGGTGAATTCTCATTAGATCAGTCCCCTTGTATCAGTGGGTGATTGCACCCCTCGCAGTCCTGTTTTCCTTTTTCATTTTCTTCTTCCTTCTGCTCCTGATTTGGACCTTAGGGGGCTCAGTCCAGTGCTCCAATGTGGGTCTCCGTCTGTATTGCCATCCATAGTCGGATGAAGGTTCCCTCTGGTCTTGCCTTCTTTGCTCATGTTTTCTTTCCTTCTGCTTCTTGTTTGGGCCTAGGGAGTTAAGTCCAGTGTTCCAATGTGTGTCTCTGTCTCTACCTCCATCCATCGCCAGAAGAAGGTTCTATGGTGATAAGCAAAATATTCATCAGTATGGTTATGGGCCAAGGCCGGTTCAGGCACCCTCTTCTCTGTCCAGAGAACAATCTGGGGATCTCTCCTTGGACCTGGGATCCCATTTATAGTCAAGTCTCTTGTAAACCCTAAAATGACTCCCTTAGTTGAAATATATTCTTCCCTGATCCCATATCCATCCTTCCTCCCTCCCCCCACCATCCCAGTCCACCAAGCTGTCCCCATTCCTCCCCTACTCCCTTCTCTCTAACCCTCTCCCCTTCCAACAACCCCCCCCAACCCTCCTCCATGTACCCGAGGTTACCTGGGACTCTTGTCTATTTCCAATCTCCAGGAGGATAGCTACATGATTTTCATCAGGTTCACCTTCTTATTTAGCTTCTCTAGGATCACGAATAATAGGCTCAAAGACCTTTAATTATGGTTAGAATCCACTTATGAGTGAATACATACCATATTCCTCCTTTTGGGTCTGGCTTACCTCACTCAGTAAAGCCTTTTCTATGTCCATCCATTTGCATGCAAAATTCAAGATGTCATTGTTATTTATCGCTGAGTAAAACTCTAATGTATATATGTTCCACACCTTTTTTAACCATTCTTCTATTGAGGGGCACCTAGGTTGTTTCCAGGTTCTGGCTATTACAAATAGTGCTGCTATGAACATAGTTGAACAAATGCTATGAACATAGTTGAACAAAGGGCATCTCTTGATTAATTTGGATAGGGGTTTGTCAATCTTGTTGATTTTCTCCAAGAACCAGCTTTTTGATTCATTGATTCTTTGGATTGTTTTCTCTGTTTCTATTTTGTTGATTTCAGCCCTCAGTTTGATTATTTCCAGTCTTCTAGACCTCCTGGGTGAATCAGCTTCTTTTTTTTTCTAGAGCTTTCAAGTGTGCTGCTAAGTCTCCAATGTGTGCTTTCTCTGTTTTCTTTAATTGGGAACTTAGTGCTATGAACTTTCCTCTTAGCACTGCTTTCATAGTGTCCCATAGGTTTGAGTATGTTGTGTCTTTATTTTCATTAAATTCAAGGAAGACTTTAATTTCTTTCTTTATTTCTTCCTTGACCCAGGGGTGATTCAGTAGTTGACTGTTCAACTTCCATGAGTTTGTTGGCTTCCTGTGGGTAGCACTGTTGTTGAATTCTAACTTTAATCCATGGTGGCCTGACAAGACACAGGTGGTTACTAATATTTTTTTGTATCTGTGGAAGTTTGCTTTGTTACTGAGTATGTGATCAATTTTCGAGAAGGTTCCATGAGCTGCAAAGAAGAAGGTATATTCTTTCCTATTTGGGTGGAATGTTCTTTAGATGTCTGTTAAGTCCATTTGATTCAATACCTCCAATAATTCTCTTATTTCTCTGTTAGGTTTCTGTCTGATTGACCTGTCTATTGGTGAGAGAGGAGTGTTGAAGTCTCCTACTATTAGTGTCGGTGGTTTGATGACTGCCTTGAGTTCTAGAAGTGTTTCTTTTACATAAGTAGGAGGCTTTATATTAGGGGCATAGATATTCAGGATTGAGACTTCCTCCTGATGAATTGTTCCTGTTATGAGTATAAAATGTCCGTCTCCATCTCTTCTGATTGATTTTAGTTTGAAGTCAATTTTGATGGAAATTAGAATGGCCACACCAGCTTGTTTCTTAGGTCCGTTTGCTTGAAAAACCTTTTCCCAACCCTTTACTCTGAGTAGATGTCTGTCTTTGTGGTTGAGGTGTGTTTCTTGTAAACAGCAGAAGGTTGGATCCTGTTTTCGTATCCAATCTCTTAGTCTGTGCCTTTTTATAGGTGAATTGAGTTCATTAATATTAAGTGATATTAATGACCAGTGGTTGTTGACTCCAGTTATTATTATTTTTTGTTTGTTTGTTTAATAGAGTTTGTATGTGTCCCTTCTTTGAGTTATGCTCGTGAAGGGTCACTAGATGTCTGAGTTATTGTAGGCAGTGTTGGCAATGTTGGATTCCTTGGGATGCGATTTTCCTTCTATTACTTTCTGTAAGGCTGGGTTTGTGGCTACGAATTGTTTAAATTTGTTCTTATCCTGGAATATTTTGTTTTCTCCATTGATAGTGAATGATAGCTTGGCTGGGTATAGTAGTCTGGGCTTGCATCCATGGTCTCTTAGTTTCTGCAGTACCTCTATCCAGGACCTTCTGGCTTTCATGGTTTCCATAGAGAAGTCCGGTGTAAGTCTGATAGGTTTACCTTTATAAGTTACTTGACCTTTTTCCTTTGCAGCTCTTAGTATTCTTTCTTTAATCTGTATGTTTTGTGTTTTGATTATTATATGGCGAAGGGATTTTTTTTTTGATCAAGTCTATTCGGTGTTCTGTATGCTTCTTGAACTTTCATAGGAATATCATTCTTTAGGTTGGGAAAGTTTTCTTCTATCATTTTGTTGAATATATTTTCTGGGCCTTTGATCTGCAATTCTTCTCCTTCTTCAATCCCTATTTTAGATTGTTGGAGGAGTTCTTGCCTTGGCGTCTGCCCATCTCTTCCTTCAAATGCTCTCTATTGGATCTTCTGGTACCGGGTCAGGTTCCCTTGTAGGGCAGTGACTTCACTGACAGAAGGCCTACCTTTCCTCAGGCAGCCTACTGAAACACAGGCACTCCCTCCTGCCGGGTTGCACTCACAGCCCAGGCCCAGCGTGCAAGGGAGCTGCTCTGGGGAGATCTTATGACCCCAGGGGGAAGGGGGGAATAGAGGAAGGTGTACCTGGATGAAGGCTGGGATGGGATTCGGGAGAGCTCCGCAGTGTGGAGCCACCACTGCAGGGTGACCAGGAAGTTGAGGGGGGTGGGGAAAGTTTGAATTCCTCCTAGCCAAAGCCCTCAGGCCAGGAGCAAACTCACCCCTCCTCCAATGGATGTCTGCTAGAAGTTTACTGCCTCTTGCTGACCTGAATGTGGCTGAGCTGACATAGGGCCCGCCTGTCCTCAGGCAGGCTATCAAAGCACAGGAACTACCCCTACCGGGCTGCGCCCACAGCCCAGGCCCAGTGTGCAAGGGAGCTGCTCTGGGGAGATCTTGTGGCCCCAGGGGAAAGGGGGGGAAGAGAGCGCTACCAAACTTTTTAAAAAATATGTGAAGTGTTAATTTCCCTAACTCATGAGAGGAAGTGTAAACATGAGACTTAAAAACACATTTAAATTCCTCTTGTGGCCCTCACTGAATGGTGTGACTGAAAGGAAAGCCGAGATTGTTATTTTGTGATTTGTGTTTAACTTACTACCGGTACCAATATTTAATTCACTCTCTCCACTTACTTTCTTCCAGAAACTTATGAGACAGAGGATATCGACAGTATGACCGATACGTCTAGTGGCAGCCTAGAAAGTGAACACTCTATTGATGGTAGGTAACAGCATTCCTGGTCATGTCCAATGAGATGGTCTAGGAGCAGCCATGCTATTCCTTCTCCTTGGATGGCAGAGAAAGTCAATTGAAGGGTCTTCCTAATAGGCAGAAGCAATGATAAGACTCTATTAGTGGATCATTGTTCAGCTGTACTTCTCGATGTTAGGACCAAGTATTTTATTTTTGTTCTTTCCTATTCTTTCACTCTTTGTAACCCTTTTCCTTCAGGGGAAGATCATGTCCTCCTTAGACAAAAAAAAAAAATGACCATGCCATTTGGTCCAGAGTTTCATGTAGGTTTTATGTCATCCAGTGGTCAGAACACAGATGCTTCCTTTTCTGTGTTGTCATTCTGCTGGTGCTGTCATTAATTAATATTTTAATTATTTTCTGCTTCCTCTATTTTGTCAAGGGCACATATTATAATTTGCTTTCCATTGGCCTGACAAACATATTGACCAAAAGCAAGTTGGGGAGGAAAGGACTTATTTCATCTTTCAGGTTATAGCCTACCATCAAGGGAAGAAAAGGCAGGAACTCACAGTAGCAACCTGGAGCCAGAAAGCTAAGCAGAGAGCATGAAGGAATGTTGCTTACTGATTTGTTCTCTCTGGTTTGCTCAGTTATTTTTCTTAGACAGTACAGCCCCACCTGCCTGAGGATTAGCACAGCACAGAGTGGTCTGGGGCCTCCTATATCAATTAGCAATTAAAAGATATTCCCACAGTCATTCTTATGGGACAGTCTGATGGAACCAATTCCCCAATGTAGATTCCCTTCTAAGTGTGTGAAGTTGACTGTGAAGATTAGACAGCACAAGTCACCTCTTGTCAACATGACACATAAGCAGGCCACTGTCAAATCATGACCTTTCCTGCTTTTCTCCAAGAGCTCTTGTTGATATAACATTAAATAGTATGCAGTGTTAAAAGTCCTGCAGTCTTTAAATAATGCCAACAATTTAAAAGTCCAATTTATCTTTAAAAATCTAGACTCTTATCTGTAGGTTCATGCTAAAAAAAAAAGGAACATGTTTTATATGGTCTTTGTTCAAAGAAGTAAAAAGGTTATAGAGATAGGAAAGAAAAACAAACCTAAAATAGTACAAGCAGCTCATTGTCCAACACCTAGGAATCACTCATCATTTTCTGGACTCAAAGGCTTGCAGAGTTGCAATTCTGAGACAGCCCCACACAGCATACATGCCCTGGCTTGGAGGCTCATGCCAGCTCCACTCCAAACTCACTGCTTCCCACATCCTGCCACCTGCAATTGCTGAGGTCTCCCAGTAACCGAGCCTGGAATTCACCAATGGCGTTGCCTAGTCTCTCTCTAGGGACTCTGGTACTTCCACATGGTGTCAAGCCTCAGTTTCTTTCCACAGCCCCTTTCATCCTGCCACTTTTGTGCCACCATAGCAAGTAGCACATAAGAGACTTTGACTCTGACACATCACCAAGTTTGGTGCCAGCTTGAAATGCGGTCTTGGCCCACTCTGAGCCAGAGCTTCTGTTTGCTGATGTAATAGAAATGGTTCTCAGAAGATTTTGCATCTATTATGCGGGTTCCCTACTCATCTGACTTCCCAGCCCTGGCTAACCAGTAGCCATTGTCCCAGCGAAGCACAGAAGGTTTCACCTCACAGATTCTTTAAACACACACACACACACACATACACACACATACACACACACATACACACATACACACACATACACACATACACACACATACACACACACATACACACATACACACACACATACACACACACACATACACACACATACATACACACACACATACACACACACACACACACACACACACACACACACACACACCAGTCTTTTTTATGTTGCATACCAATCACAGTTGCTCCTCCCTCCCCTTCTCCTACTCTCTCCACCTTCTCCCCCACCTCCATTTGCTCCTTAGAGAGGGTAAGGCCTTTCGTGGGGAATCAACAAAGTCTATCACATCACATTAAGGCAGGACCAAGGCCCTCCCCTCTGTATCTAGGTTGAGCAAGGTATCCCTCCAAGGGGAAAGGCTCCAAAAAGCCAGTTTATGCACTAGAAATAAATCCTGGTCCCACTGCCAGTGGTCTCACAACCTGCCCAAGCAACACAATTATCACCTACATTCAGCAGGCCTAGCTCAGTCTTATGCAGGTTCCCCAGTTGTCAGTCTGGAGTCCATGAGCTCCCACTGGCTCTGGTCAGCTTTTTCTGTGGGTTTCCCCATCATGGTCTTGACCCCTTTGCTCTTATTATTGCCCCTCCCTCTCTATGACTGGACTCTAGGAGCTGGACCCAGTGGTTAGCTGTGGATCTCTGCAACACTTCACAGATTCTTAACCCAAACTTCACAAAGCAGCTCCAAAGAGTCTTGGCTGCCTCTGAAAACCACAGACCAAGACTCCCTTGTCTGCCTTTCTCTAAGCATTCTTGTTTCCCAGATTCCTACACATGAGCTTATTGAGTCTCGAACACTCAAAGGATCTCCATGTCAAAGGGAGGATAATGGGAATGTGGACATTCCCATAATCCTCCCCCAAGCAATATGGCCAGTTCTGTCATAGCAATGCCCCACTTTCTGGCACCAATTTCTGTATTTGTTGTTTTATGTTATTATAGTAAAATACCAGAAACAAAATGGAAGAAATATTTTTTTTTTTGGCTTCTGTTCCAGTGATAGAGTCTATTTTGGCAGAGGCATGGAGAAGGTGGGCCAGAGAGGAAAGTCACAAGGTCATGTTTTCAACTCATTCAGAGAACAGAGAGGTTGGCCACCAAGTGGGGTGAGGCTACAAACTCCCAAAGCCCACACTCTGTGATGTATTTCCCCAAGTAAGGCTCCCAGTCCTACCTAACATAACATCCCCCAAACATTGCCACAACCCAGAGACTCAAATATTCAAATTCACAAGCCTTGGAGTCACATTTGTTGTTCAAAGCACTGCATTCTCTCCCTGGTCCCCAAAGATACATGACATTGAAGAGCAGCAGGAAAGGCACACAGCCCTGTGATGCTCTGGAAATTCTGTAATTAGTTATGAATGATACTTGTGATTATACTGCATCTCTGTGAAAAATTTAAGGTGTCTTACAGTATTTTTCTAGCATATCAGTTGAAGTTGAACCGCACAGTGTAAAAACGTATTTAAATACCTACTTTGGTTCTGATTCCATGATATAAGCCAAAAAAAAGTTGAGCTGGTTCTTGTGTGAGGCAGTGTGGCTTCACCTACTGCATAAACCAATGTGTGAGTCACCCTCTCCACTGACTTCTTCAGGAGGAGGACTTCTCTGAGAATGGTTTGGATATGGAGAGCAGCCTTCAAAACTGTGATCATGGTAGTGGTAGATTATTAGCACTCCTGGTCAGATTCAAAGAGAAAGTCTGGGAACAACTGGGGATTTCTTTTCTTGGATGGGTGAGGAAGAGAGATAGTCAATTTGAAGGTCTTCCAAGTGGGCAGACGTGATGATGAGATTCTGTCACCAAACCATTGTGTATTAGTTGTTTTCCTCTTACCTCCACAAATACCTGACAAAAAGCTTGATAAGATCCTGACTTACAGTGCAAAAGACACAGAAGGTGTTTTAGCAGCTATAGTGGCTATTTTAAACATGTAATACTATCAGTATCTTCTACTTTTTAAATAAGTCATCATTGTATATAAAAATGAGTACTTCAGGGACTGGAGGAATTTGCTTATCAGTCCAGGGTGTGTGCTACTCTTCTGAAAGACCCAGGTTCAGTTCCTAGTGCCTACATCAGATGCCCACAACCCTTTGTTACTTCAGTTTCAGGACATCAGATGCCCTCTGCTAACCTCTGTGTTATCAGCCATGGAAGTGGTGTACATACATACACACAGGCACTCATAGGTATACATCAAAAAACAAAACCAAGAAACAAACCCATTGTGACTACCTGTGTTTGATTCCCAGATTACATGTAAACCATGAAAGAGAGAAGAAATCCCACAAAGTTGTCCTCTGAACCCACACACATGATGTCGTGTACACAAATACACACTTTACACACACAACAATATTAAGAATACATAAAATTAATTGGAAAACCGGGCAGTGGTGGTGCGTGCCTTTAATCCCAGCACTCAGGGGGCAGAGGCAGGCAGATCTCTGTGAGTTCGAGGCCAGCCTGGTCTACAAGAACTAGTTCCAGGACAGGCTCCAAAGCTACAGAGAAACCCTGTCTTGAAAAAAACAAACAAACAAAAAATTTGAGAAAATCATATATGCTTACTGCATGCAGATTCTACATGCTTGCCTATGGGGTTAAAAGAGGTTTGACAATATCTAGAAAGAATTGCCAATTGTCCTGACTTCAAAAGGGTCTGAGAAAGTAAGAGAAAGCAGAAATCTATTTTTCTTTTTTATGAGACAGGGTTCTGTGTAGCCATGGATGTCCTAGATCTGACTCTGTAGGCCAGGGTGGCCTCAAACTTGAAGATCCATCTGCCTCTGCTTCTCAAGTGCTGGGATTAAAAATCTGGGCCACTACCACAACTGCTAGAAATCCATCATTTAACGTTTATTTCAGTGTCTCCCCAATGATACATTTTTAGATTGTTTTAGATTCACATTATATAAAAGGACAAAATTTACCATTCTCATTTCTCGAGGTCTTGGTTTTTTTCCCCAGCCAATGGGATGTTCCTGTGTGAGAACAACCATGTTTATTAATGAACTATGTACATTAAGACCAAATGTTTAGATTAAATTCATAGAATTCTGTCCACATCAAACCAAGAGCCCCTGTGACACAGGACGTGATCCCACGATCTCAGAGCTATTTTGTGTTCTCCTAGTGCTGTCTGACAAAGACCAGATGAAGACCACCCCAAAAGAGGAGACAAATACATCACCAAATAAGGTAAACCATCTTTTCCCTTTCTGAAGACAGAAAGGTTAGTTTTAGGATTCCTTTATATTTTATTTTATCACATCAGGATGATAAAACTGATAACCTACATTATATTCAAGTATTTTCTATGTAAAAGGAGGAAATGGAACTGGATCAAGAAATTCTTGATCAAGGAATATGTTTAAAAAATGTCAGTGCCAGATTTACTTATTTATGTATTTACTTATTTATTTGTTTATTTATTTATTTTTAAGGAGCCTTTCTTCTCACAAAGTTGTTCTGTCTAGATTAAAAGTTGAGTGATTTCTCACTCAAGAATTGGCATAAAACCTGTGAAAAGTTTGTTTTTCTCCAAGCATCCTCTTATTTTTCTTTAGGAGACTTCCTATGGTTAAGGCAGTTGGAATGTATTTTCCCAATTACTGCTTTGGTAAAAGAGTTTTACATCTATTATGAGGACGCCAAGGTCTTGAGTTCTTTACAGCGTGAAATCTGAATAAATAATTCAGACACAGAGTCACCCCTTCGTCGGCATTCCTCTCACAGTACCAGATTGTCGTAAAATTTCTCTGTCATGTTTCAGTGTAGCTTTGAGGAAACCTTTTGTAGGGGACAAAGAGGTAAGTTTGCCTGATCTGGGCTAAATGATCAAGAATCAGAAAATTCTTTTTTTTCCCATACATTCCCCAGCCTCAGGTGTTTTGAAACAGTATTCTACAGCAAACTAATGCAGAATCTTTCACTTGGCCACTCTTCCCCATCCTACACACTACTCCCCCAAGTCACTAGAAGAACCAAAGACAAATAGAAGTCAGTATTGTCTGACTAAGAGTGTTTTCTCTAAATTTCAGGTCCAGTCGAGGAAGTGCAGATGGAGTATGTATTTGGAAGGACTTTCTTAACTCACGCTATAGATAAGAATTGTGTATTGATTGCACCACTGTTTTCAGTGTGTCCTGAAAGCCAGGGGATTGGCAGGCTTAGTTTAAAATAACTGATTTTCCAGGAGACACAGTGTGGCTTTGTGTCTTTAGTTTTTATTTCCCTTAGTCACCCTGGGATCTTCTATAACAGACAATATCTGTATGTGTGTTTCCTCTAAAGATATCTCAATTTTCCAAGAAATTTCCAATGTCAGTGAAGAAATTAAGAGTTCACACTTTGCCCACATTAATTTAAAACTCATCCCAGATATGTATGACAGATTCATTTCTCAGCATATACCCCACTAAAGAAGAACACACAGGACAGGGAAGCACGTGACCTACATGTCTAGCTAGGGGGTACATAAACAAAATCTGTTCCCAGATATGAGATATGCAAATGACATTCCCAACTATAAACTCTGCCTCTTAGCCTACCACGATATGGGTAGAAATTATGGAGGAATTGTAGCTATCCATTTTCAGAATAATTCCTACTGACGGACTTTTGTCTGTTTCTCTGTAGCCTCTGTGCACTGTGCTGGAGGCACAAATTTAAAAGGTCAAGCCCAGGTCACTCAGGCTGTTTGGCTTACAGAAAACTAGGCTGTCATACAGAAGGTGTTGGGTTTGACCCTCAGCACTGCATGTCCCAGGGAGTTGGTAATTCCTGTCTATTTAGCACTGAAGAGTGGGGTGTATGGTGATCAATCAAAGGCATTTCCTGGCCAGCCCAGGTAGTGACATGAAACCCTGCCTGAAAAAATTAAAACAGCTACCACCACAACAAAAACCAAAAGACAAAAGCTTATCTGCTTGTTGTCAATTGATTTTGACAATGGGAGACTCTACATCAGAAATATGGTGTCATAATTGCGTTTTTCTTCAACATGGCTGATTCTAGTTGAATGCTTTAGCACTATAGAAGACATTATGGTAAGTCCAAATAGCCTCACATTTTTGGGCTTAAGTCTACTAAGTTATTAATATGGTCTTATTACTTTGATCATACTTCTTTTCAAGATGAGGTACATTAATGCCTGAAGGGTACTTTCCCTCACTGATGTTCAGTTCCCATGTGGGCCAATAAATGAGAGTTTAGGGAGCCAAACTCCCTAAACTCAATGGATGTATACAGTCATCATCGAACGATTGGATTTCATGTCATGATTTCTAAAATGCCTTGTGACTGATTGTACTTCTACACGTTGAAGACATATGCTGCAGATTTTTGTTAAGGGTACATAGGACTATGTATATTGCTCAGGGATGTGAATAGCAGAGTTTGTAGTTTAGAAACTGGACATGTTGAAGCATGAGCAGGGAAGGTGCACACTTGGGGCTAGAGAAGGTTCTGCTCTGCTCTTCTCTGAGCTTTTCAGGCTCCACAGATATTGTTGAGGGCATTTGTCACCTAGAAAGTGGTGTGCACAGTCACATCCATTAAATCTCCAAGCCACCAAGCTTCTTGTTTGCTGAGTTTGAAGGCTTATCCAGAGTATGACAATTGTAGGAAAGTGTCCCATCTCCCCACCACAACTGTACTCTACCATCAGTGTTAGAATGACTCAGAGTCTGAGTCACTGTGTGTAGAAGAGATGGAAGCTTTTGAACCAACTAAACTCTCAGATCACTTCTTTCAGAGAGATGGGCAATATTCACATCAGGAACTGGAAAGTAGAGCATCCTTCCATGTTTTGAGGTCTTTTTTTCCTGTCAGAATCATTATGCCACAGTGGCATGAAGATAGCCTCTTACCTGCTTTCCTATCTCAATGTGATATACAATCTTCACAAACTGTAAAACACCGTGGTTGGATAAAGAATGAAAAGAAACTGTCACTGTCCACTGTTCTGGAACTGTCTCTGGATCCAACCACCACTGTCTTGTTTATTCTTTTCACATTCTGGAAACCCCACAGAGCACTTCTCTAGATCTAGTGCTATTCTTTAAGGCTTGATATTCATTTGCTATCTTAGATTCACCAGGCTTAATGTAAGTGCTTACGCAGTTGGAGTGTCATAGTGCCAAGAATTGGTGTAGTAAGTAGCTGCATGCATTTCACTGGGTTTACGTGGATCTTAAAGTGATTTGGATGCTGCCAATCTCACACTGAGTCACATAGCTTCTCTGTCAATATTGTATCATTCAGACCTCACTGACCATGAAATAGTTGTATAGAGAGGACACAATGTTTGTGATCTTCCTGAAGTATCATTCTGAATCAGATGTGTATGCTTGAAAAATCACTAATGAGATCAAATGTTTATACATAGAACAGTTGTTAACTTTTTGTGGGGGGGAGTTGTTTGTTGGTTTGTTAAATGCAATTGAGTTGACCTCTTTTTGTTGTGAATGCATTCCAGTCAGATCAATGATGAGAAGGCTGGGGCTTTGGTACACCAAGTCTTCCAGTATCAGACCTCAAACCCCAGCTATGCATATGATAGAAAAGGCCTGCAACACCAGTGAAGGTAGGTACTGTGGATATTTGATAATTAGTTTGAGTTATTAACAGTCATGGTGAAGGAGAGAGAATGAACTGGAATTAGGGTGAGGCTATGAGGCTTCGAACGCTACCACCAGCAGCATAGTTCATTCAGCAAGGCTGTCTCCTAAAGGTTCCACAACCTTTCCAATTGGTGCCACAAACTGGGCACCAGATGTCCAAATACCTCAACCTATACAAGACATTTTTTATTCAAACCACAGTGTATATATTTCTTATTAAATGATGAAAAATGTTTTGTATATTTTTAATATGCGACATGTTCATTTCCCTAGCTCAGCAGTAGAGTTTCAGCCATAGAACTAAAAATGCAATTCAAGGTCTATTATGGTTCAGTCTGAATGATCTGAACCAAAGAGGGGTTGAGTGGGTTCTTGTGTGAGGCAGTCTGGCTCCACCTACTATAGACGGTTAATATATAAGTCACTCTCCACAGACATGTTTCCAGACATTGATGATAACAACCCTGAAAATGATCTGTCTCCTGAGGCCAGCTTGAACTGTGAAGACCGTGGTAGGTACTGGCGTTTCTGGTCACATCCAATGAAAGTGTCTAGCAGCAGTCAGAACTTTTCTTCTGCTTGGGAGGCAAAAAAGAGAGAAAGTCAATTTAAAGACTTCCAGATGGGGAGAAACAACAGTAAGACTCTATTACTCAGTCATTCTGGTTAGTGGCTTTTTTTATTTCTGTGACCAAAGAACTGAGGGAAAACCATTTTGATGGGGGAAGGGTTTACTTTGGGTGTTAGGACAAGGGTGTCATTCTGGCAGGGAAAGTGTCTTGACAGGTGTATGGCGCTGGCTGGTCACATTGCATCTGTACATGAGTACATGAACCTGTACTCAGGAAGCAGGGACTAAACAGAAGTAAGACAGAGGTCTTTCCCAAGTGACTCACATTCTCCAGGGGGATGTTCCACTTCCTGAAGCCTTTCTTAAGCAGGACTATAGGCTGGGGACCAAGTGTTCAAACACATGAGGCTATGCAGGACATTTCATGATCAAACCAGAACACACAATATATGATTTAAGGCCTGTGTTGATGACCATTTCATGTCACATGATCTGAACTCCAGACAAAGTACAAGAACCTGCTTTCTTATTTTTTTGCCTCTTTGTTGTCCTCTCTCAGAGGAGTAGAGTATGTTCAAGTACAAAGAAATGACCATGACACCTGAACAAGAGATTAATATAGCATGTCATAATCTTGGCAATTGATTTGAAGGCTGCTTCTTTCCTGTGTTTTTATCCTGCATGTGCTTTCATTAATAAGTATTTTAGTAATTTTCTGTGCACTTTCTTTTGTTGAGACTGCACAGCTGATATAGAGAATCTGCTTGGATACTAAGGAAGTTAGACAAAATAAAAATATGTCACACAGGCATCTGTGTAGCCTTAAGACTGTTGTGCATGTCTAATGCACAGAAAGCGAATGAAAAGATCTCATTTGTTATGCAAAAGGATCCATCTTTCACTAAGTGATGAGTTCCTGGGTCTTTGCAGTCTTGTAAGCGCTAGCTCAGCTGATGCAGGGCTTGCTTTAGGCGCACAGACGTTCCCATGTCTTGTCCATAAACAGCTCAATGGAGGCATGGACACATTTCTGAGGCAGCTGTCATCAGATGGTGGATTTTCTGAGACTGAGTACTAGACATTTAAACAGACAATGTTAACCTTCTAGCCTTTGTGGTTTGTTTCATTCATTATGTGCTGACTAAAGTCAATCAATTGGAACATTTTGAAGAACAATGCTGACCTTACTTTAGAACGGGAGTCTGAATATGTAGGTAGGTCAACACAGGCCAATACAAGGATTCCTTTTAAAGTTTCAGCTGTCTCTGTGCAACAGAAGTCTGTGTGAAACTAAATACTTCTAAGAAAAGCAGGGATATATCTAGGAAAATAGCATGAGGGCTTGTTACAGGGCTTTTGTGGGTCTGGGAAGTGAGGTGCACTGCACACTGCACACGGCTATGACAGCACATTTACTGACAACTCGACTCTCTGAGCATTCTCACCACATATGTAATATTCACAGAACCACTCAGGAATAATGCAGACACATGCAGGGTTTACGTCTTTACTGTCCATACAGAGTTGGAGACATGCAATGATGCGTAGACCCAAGGTCATGATGTTCTCAGGTGAAAGTACCAAGGTGAAAATCAGATGTGTGGCCACTGATTATGAGGTTCCAAACTGTTAACACCTTTTTATATTTAGGCTATCATGACATTAACAACTGCACAAAAGATCCCATGTTCTATATGAATTTCATAATTGCTGAAGCAAGTGGAAATCCAGGGGACAGATGATCAATGTCTCTGTCTTAATATTAGTTGGCTTCTCTGAACCTGGATGTGCACCTCACTGAATGAATATAAAGGAGGGCACAGTAAAGAAAAACTAGCAAGAGTAAAAACAATGTGTGGTGCTTATATTTTTAATGTAATAATGTCAGTATCTTGCATTCATCAAGAAGTCATTATTATGTATCAAAGAGTGAATCATTTACTGTCATTACATTATGTACCTGATATTACACAAAATGTCCCTAAATAATGTGTATATTTTCAAGATCAAAATATGTATGCTAGAGCTGGCAGTATGATTCCAAAGATAATTGTGCATTTTTTCCAGTGCTTGGGACCTGAGTGGCATTTCTCAGATCCAAATGAAGGTAGAAGGAGAGAACCAACTTCACAAGCTTATCCTTTGACCCCTGGACATAAGTTACATAGCATGCCTGCATATACATACACTTGGCTTTTTTGTTCGTTTGTTGACTTGTTTTTGTTTTGTTTTGTTTTGTTTTTTACAAACGTTGTTAGAATTGTTTTATTTTTTCAGTTCTTTTTTATTGTTTTTATTGAGCTATATATTTTCTCTGCTCCCCTTCCTTCCTCCCCCCTCTCCTTCTGACCTCTCCCATTATCACAACACTCCCAGTTTTACTCAGGAGATCTTGTCTTTATCTACTTCCCATGTAGATTAGATCCATGTAGGTCTCTCTTAGGGTCCTCATTATTGTCTAGGCTCTGGGATTATGATTTGTAGGCTGATTTTCTTTGCTTTATATCTAAAAGTCACTTATGAGTGAGCACATATTATGTTTGTCTTTATGGGTCTGGATTACCTCACTCAACATGATGTTTTCTAGATCCATCCATTTGCCTGAAAATTTTAAGATGTAATTATTTTTTTTTCTTCTGTGTGGTTCTCCATTGTGTAAAATATAGCACATCTTTTTTTATCCATTCTTAGGTCAAGGGGCATTTAGGTTGTTTCCAGGTTCTGGCTATGAAAAATAATACTGTTATGAACATAGTTGAGCACTTGTCCATGTGGTATGATTGAGCATTCTTTGGGTATATACCCCAAAGTGGTATTGCCGGGTCTTGAGGTTGGTTGTTTTCTAATTTTGTGAGAAATCACTATACTAATTTCCAAAGCGGCTGTACTCCCACCAGCAATGCAGGAGAACTCCCTTTACCCCACATCCTCTATAGTATAAGTTGTCATCAGTGTTTCTGATTGTGGCCATTTTTACAGGTGTCAGACAGAATCTCAAAGTTGTTTTGTTTGCATTTCTTTGATGGTTAGTTATACATATACTTTATATATGCGTATACACAGGCAATAATGAACAAGAAATTTTAAAAATATGATCATAGTAAATGAATATGGAGTCCATGTATGTTGATTTGTCGTGATTGAAAGAGGTTAGAAGAGATCTAGACAGACTTGAAAGTAATAGAAATCTGACATTTAACATAACATTTCTTTAAGTGATAAGCTAATCAAAGGTGGATTATTTCACAGTTTCTTAGACTCCTTTTATTTATGAGAATAAAAAGTCTCTTCTTATTTCTGTAGAGCTCTTGCTTTTTTTTTCCTTTTGCTAACAGGGAAAACTGTCTTATAGTCCTTCAACTATGTTTGTTAATTAAATGCACCAAGACTAGGCATAAACACTAAATTCACATGTCACTGTCCCCAGCAACATAAAAACCCTTAACAAATAGCAAGTAGTACCATGAACTGAAAGTTATTTCCTGTTCCCCTAGAATCATGTGAGGAGGTCCAGATGAAGACCTTACAAGAAGCATCAGAACCAGCCTTGGTTGCGGTAAAATGGCCTTTCCTTTTTGTAACCCAGAAAGGATACCTTCAAAATACTTCATTTTTATGGGCATCAGATCTCAATAACTAAACTGCTCAAATATTATAGGTATTAGAGTGTTTACACAGGAAGAGGACACAAGCATGAGAGGACATTGGAAATCACGTCAGGTTCCATAACGCCTGTCAGGACCTTTTCTTCTCACAATTTCCTGTTTAGATGAAACCATGTATAAGAAACTGACAGGCACATTGTATAGGAAAAGTTCGTGTTTCTTCTGTGAGTGTCCCCTTGTCTTTCTTCTGGGGTGTCCTAAGGTTAACAC